GCCCGTCGACGGTTCGGCCTCGTCCTCCATCGGCTGCGATTCGGGCTCCTCGTCGATTAATTGCGATTCGGGCTTCTCGTCGATCGGTCGCGATTCAGGCTCTTCGTCGATTGGCCGCGATTCGGGCTCCTCGCTGATTGGCTGTGATTCGGGCTCCTCGCTGATTGGCCGCGATTCGGGCTCCTCGTCGATCGGTGACGCGATAACTCGCCTATTCTCGTGTTCGTGAAGCCTGTCGATTAATTCAGGGATGGCGAAGTCGCGATCGCGAAACTCAAATTGCTCGGGGGCTAGCGCGACGTCGCGTTGGCGAGCGTCGCGCAACGCGCTGTGAACGTTTTGCGCCTGCGCGAGCATAGTCCTCGTCTTCGTAAATAAATCATAGAGCGATTCTCGCGCCGTTCTTATACAATCTTCTATCTGTTGTCTAAAGTAAAAAAGTAAAAGGATTATTACAAATTATAATTTATTATAAAAAAGTATTATAAAAATTTTAATCGAATACTTACATTGAACGCGCGATATCGATGTCTCCATCCAGCTGAAAGTTCAGTCTGAGCAAATCCGGACTGTTCTCGATAATGCCTCGCGCCTCCTCGCGCAAATCCGAGGCGAGATCTCCCAAAACGTAAGCCTTTATTGCAATTAAATCACCGTTCACATTAATATAATCGGCCGCGTTAATTATCTGCTCGATTCGTTCCATATCGAGTAGTTCGCGACTGATTTTAATTCTCGTTATTTCACACCTCGCCACTTTGCTCTTATACCGTTTCGCGCTTCGTCGACTAGTCACTTTACTATTTCGCGAGCGAGAATACTTTGACGCTTCTCGAAACGATCTCGCGTTTATAAAGATCGACGCGCGGATGCCGCGGTACGAGCGGAGATAAACAAGTAATAAAAATAGATTATAGAGGAAAATATATAACAAAAATAATGTGATAAGAGGGACTCGAGCGCCCGCTAAATAACGCGCATCCCGGATACGCGATGAATGTTTATCGTCGCCGGAAAGGGTACGTTTCTCTAATCGCTCGTCAAGTGTTCTTCTTACAAGATAAACGAATAATAAAAATAGAAATAATAAAAAAGTAAAACCGCGAGAGGTACTCGAGCGTCCGCTAGATAACGCGCATCCCAGACGCTCGGCCGATATTCGCTCATCATCGAAAGGTCCGGTCCCTCTAATCGAGGCGAACTGCGACTCTTTTTCGAACGAATCGCGTTTTCTCTTCCCCCACCCGCGTCAAATTCGTCAACGATATCGCAGGAATATAGGCAGTCCCGGGGGAGCCCTAGCTCACGCGTTCTTGCCCTCTGGAATGACCGATTTCGCGTCAGAGGTACACGTTGACGATTCAGAACCGTGGCATGTGTATCTCAATAAAAATCCTCCCAACACGCATCATTTGTTGCAAACGCTGACGCACGAGATTGGCCACGCTTTGGGTCTACAACACAGCATGCGCAACAACTCGATAATGTTTCCATATATACCCGATATAGAGAATCAATTTCCGGTTAAGTTGAGCATAGAGGATATTCTGGCTATACAGAATCTGTACGGGTCTCACGACGACGGAAACTATCCAACGGCGACTCCCACGACTACCGCGGCGCCCGCTACGACGAGTGTCGCGCCAGTTGACCCCGCGCGCGCGGATCTCTGCGCTTTACGGCGCGCGGACGCCGTGCTGATAATGAATCACCAATTATATATAGCTAATCGCCGTAATGTGTGGTCAATCGACGTGACCGAGAAACGCTACGGTAGACCCATGACGCTCACGGATTACGCGGCGTTTCTCCCAACGAATTTCACGCGCCTATCCGCCGCGTATCGAAAACCCTCGGGCGATCTCGCGCTATTCGCGGACGATTCGATCTACCTCGCGGAATATCCTAGCCTTAAGCTAAAATCGGGTTAGCCGAAATATCTTCACGATATCGGACTTCCTCGAAATGTTAAGATTAACGCTGCGATAAACACGCACACGGGACGAACCTAAGCGATCTATGACGACGACAAGGTAGCGGAAATTGACGAGAGCCGCATGATATTATCATTAGACACGCTCCATTAAAAGATATATTTCCCGGAATACCGACGAAAAAAAAACGAGCGATAATGTACGCGACAATGGGTGGGCCACCGCAACAGCAGCACTCATTTGGCAATCGATCGAGGCTAACCGAGCGAGACCGCGAGGATAGCGCGGGATACGCTAAAAGAGCTAAACAGGACAATGGGTAAGACTATTAAATGTTTATTCGAACTAATAATCCGCTAGCGTCGTTTCTCTTATCGCCCAATTATTAATACATTAAAAATATTGTAAAAGGAAACAATAAAAACGCTCCTCCTCTCGCGCAAAAAAACAATCTCTCTTTATTCCACAACCTTTCGACGATTCGCTATCTCGCTCGAGCGATAAGCGCGCTCGTATCGCCGCTAACCTTTCCTCTACCCATCTCCCTCGGCGCCATATATCAGCGTCCGCTCGCGGAACTTAAGAATCGCGATAACGGATCACGCGCTAAAAGCAGCGCGAGAGATCGCCGTCACCTCCTTAAGGAACGAGTCGCGTCAAGGTCGAGTCGCGCCAAGGTCAAATCGCGCCAAGAGAAATCGCGACCTCAATCGAGTCGAGCGTCATCTCCCGGGCGATCTCGTTGATTTTGTTGGGCGTCTAGATAGGCCGGCGCTAACTCACTTTCATGAGAGCGAGAGAGATGGATAGAGAGATAGAAACCTTAAGGAACGAGTCGTGTCAAGGTCGAGTCGCGCCAAGGTCAAATCGCGCCGGGAGAAATCGCAACCTCAATCGAGTCGAGCGTCATCTCCCGGGCAATCTCGTTGATTTTGTTGGGCGTCTAGATAGACCGGCGCTAACTTACTTTCATGAGAGCGAGAGAGATGGATAGAGAGATAGAAAAGGATGGAGATATGGATTAGAACAGTTTGTTGACGACCGAGGGGGACGTGCGGACAGGGGGAGAGGAGGGGGGGGGCGTAGGGCGGATCGGTAAGCGCGACCTCCGATCGAGCCGAGCACCATCTCACGGGCAATCTTAGCGATTCATACCCGCTCCCTCCCGTGACGTCACGCTGACCCCCCTCGCCACGCTCCCCGTCTCGCCCTACGTAACCCCCCTCCTCTCTCCCCCTGTCCGCGCTTTCTCTCTCGGTCGTCTACAAACTGTTCTAATCCATATCTCCATCCTTTTCTATCTCTCTATCCATCTCTCTCGCTCTCATGGGTAAAGTGGGTTAGTGGTGGCCTATCTTAACTACTACTTTATATTTCTTGTTATCAACAACTATGCCATTTTCAGAAAGAAACAGAAATTCGTTAACAAAACTGTTAAGAAAATTAATCGCATCACTCGGCTTACAAATACCATGATATATACCAATTACGAATGGCAATGTATGAATACCGATATCTTTAATAGATGCCATGATAGGCCAGAATTGGCTACTAGAACTTTTCGAAATTGGTAAGCAGTCTACATTTATATTAATTTTAATTGGGAGTAAATTTCTATAGATCGTTCCACAGCAGAAGTAAGGCCAATGTGCATAACGACCATTACCCATACGTTTTATGTTTACGAATGCGTTACGTGGTGTATTAACTAAAACTCTAACATCAATAGGCAATTCAGTATGACCGTGCTTTCTTAATATTCTCAGTAACTCATTAGCAATATTGTGAGGAACATTACGTTCTATAATTAATTTCTCTAAATCTTCCCGTAAGCTTAGCTCATTATTGCACTTATTATTATCTGTCAATGCAGGTATATTATTTTCCTCATCAAAAGTATATATATCATTGTTTTCAAGCTAAAAATCTATTGATAATTCCTCCGATTGGTCTGTATCGTCGAATGATGTACTATTCGTGCAAAAATTTTCTGAATTTGTGTTAATATTAGCAGCTTCTTCTATTACATTAGATGCTAAATTTGATAAAGTGGAATATGAAGTAGAATTTGGACTATGTAATAAAATCAAATCTTCATTACGTAAATCTCGATTAATAATCTGATTCCTTCGTCTCTGTGTTAAATATCTAATATCTTTAGGCATGATAAATAAAGAGTTATACCTAAACAAATATTGTAAAAATTATACACGCGTTACACACCTCAATATCAAATCTGAAAAGAACCTTAGAATAAAAATATATTTTAATTAAAAAAAAGATCACGAAGAATGTTGGTTATTACACGGACGACCCAATAGACATCAATCGAGCCGAACCAAATAATATGATTCATGACCGGAAAATAAAAACCGCAAGAATAACGAGCAAGGAAAAAATAACTTTAACTCCGCGCAAAGCAGCGATGAGGAAGAAGGGAACGAAAGAAAGTCGCACCGACCTACAATTGAATATCAAGTATCACACTTTAAAAATACGCCGCATATACAGACAGGATTGGACCTTGTCACATTACCAATGCGAGAAGCGAAACGCGAAAAAATAAATTTGCTATTCGATACAGGAGCCGCAATATCACTAATTAAAGTGAAACAGTTAAAAGGCGAAACGTTAATAAAAGAAGAAAAAATAACGCTCACCGGCGTAACGGGACATAAAATATGTACAATTGGAAAATTTAAGGCGACAATAACTCTGGAAAAGCGCCGAATCAAGCATACTATGTACGTTGTTAAGGATGACTTTCCGATAGAATATGACGGAATACTAGGAGTTGATTTTCTACGAAAACATCAAGCCACTTGCAATTATAAAACAAAACAATTAAAGGTAGGACAGCATATCTTACAGCTTTACCCCTATCTAAAAATGATGTTGAAACCACGTAGCGAAACTATAATACAGGTCGCTACTGATAAGAACACGATAGGCGTGATAAAGGCAGAAGAAACAATACCAGGAATATTTATAGGTAATTGCCTAGTAGAACCTACGAATTACATATGTGCAGCAAGCATTCTAAATACAACGGATAACATAATCGAAATGTTAATGCCGCAAGTAAGTGTAGAGGAAATCGAACGAAGTGAAACAGAAGAAATTAACGTAATACGAACGCCAAATAAAAAGGATCTACGAAAAGAAGTGACATACTTAGGTCATATAATTACAGAAAACGGAATATTGCCGGATCCAACCAAATTAGAAGCCGTAAGAAATTTTCCGACGCCTAGGAAAGTAAAAGATATTAAAGCTTTTATAGGATTAGCCGGATATTATAGAAAATTTATTGAAAATTTCTCTAAAATCGCGAAACCACTAACGAAGTTAACCAAAAAGGAAAATAAATTTGAGTGGACGCAAGAACAACAACAAGCATTTGAAATGCTTAAAGAAAAATTAACAACGGCACCTTTACTAAAATATCCAGATTTCGAAAAAGAATTTATTCGTAACGACCGATGCATCAGATTATGCAATCGGAGCGATAAATAGGCCAAGATCAACCAATAGCATATGCCAGTCGAATACTATCGAAAGCCGAACAAAATTATAATACGACCGAAAAGGAACTATTAGCAAGGTATGCCCAAATAGTATGGGCCGTTAAACATTTTCGACCGTACTTATACGGGACAAAATTTACGATAGTCACAGACTATAAATCGCTCGTATGGTTATTTAATGTAACCGACCCTGGATCTCGATTAATTAGATGGAGATTAAAATTAGAAGAATACGATTACGAGTTCATACACAAGGCCGGAACAGCGAACAGAAACGCTGACGCGCTAAGTCGACACGTGGCGGATATCAACAGCGTCGAGGAGGATGAGAGCACCGACACGAAGATAACGCGAGAATACACGGAAGACGAGAAGCGACGTATTCTATACGAATATCACGATGCACCTGTGGGAGGGCATCAAGGAAAAGAGCGTACGATCAATCGAATTCGCCTAATGCATAATTGGCGAGGATTGACAAAAGATGTCGAAGACTATATAACAAAATGCGAATTTTTTCAAAAAAACAAATTATCGCGAAAAATTAAGGCACCGCTAATAATAACGGATACTGACGATAAACCTTTTGAAAAATGTGTTTTGGACATCGTAGGTCCACTAACGATTACTAATAATGAAAATAATTTTCGAACACGGGATCCCAGAAAAAATATTAACGGATCAAGGAACAAATCTTTTAAGTGAAATATTTAAAAACACTTGCAAACGGAAAGCAACGGATCGCTAGAACGATCTCACCGGACTCTAGCCGAATATCTCCGACATTATATAAACGCCGAGCAAACGGATTGGGACGAATGGATTCCCTACGCGATGTTTACGTATAATACGACACCGCACACGGCGACAGGGTTCACACCCTTCGAATTAATTTACGGGCACCGAGCAACATTACCGACGACATTGTCGCAACAGCCTAAGCCCACGTATACATACGATGATTACGCGCAAGAATTGAAAGAAAAATTACGCGCCTCACAGCAAAAAAAAAAGTTGCAAAGGAGCATCTGAAGAACGAAAAAATAAAAACCAAAGAAAATTATGATAAAAAGACTAAAGAAATCAAACTCAAGGTAGGAGAAAAAGTCCTCTTGTACGAACTATATAACAAAATGCGAATTTTGTCAAAAAAACAAATTATCGCGGAAAATTAAGGCACCGCTAATAATAACGGATACTGCCAATAAACCTTTTGAAAAATGTGCGTAGGTCCACTAACGATTACTAATAATGGAAATAAATATATTTTAACGTTCCAAGATAATCTAACAAAATTTAGTAAAGCAATTCCGATACCGAACCAAGAAGCCGCGACAATATCGAAAGAATTCGCGACGAAAATAATTTTCGAGCACGATATGACCAGAAAAAATATTAACGGATCAAGGAACAAATTTTTTAAGTGAAATATTTAAAAACACTTGCAAACGGAAAGCAACGAATCGCTAGAACGATCTCACCGGACTCTAGCCGAATATCTCCGACATTATATAAATGCCGATCAAACGGATTGGGACGAATGGATTCCCTACGCGATGTTTACGTATAATACGACACCGCACACGGCGACAGGGTTCACATCCTTCGAATTAATTTACGGGCACCAACATTACCGACGACATTGTCGCAACCGCCTAAGCCCACGTATACATACGATGATTACGCTCAAGAATTAAAAGAAAAATTACGAGCCTCACAGCAAGTTGCAAAGGAGCACATAAAGAATGAAAAAGTAAAAACTAAAGAAAATTACGATAAAAAGACGAAAGAAATCAAACTCAAGGTAGGAAAAAATGTCTTCTTGTACGACAAAACAGTTCGCCGAGGACGATCAAAGAAATTGGACTCCCTATGGACCGGACCCTACACGATAATCGAAAAAAATTCGGAAGTGAACTACACAATAAAAAGGGGAAGGAAAACCATACGCGTCCACATAAATAGAATGAAACCATTTATCGAAAATTAAAGAGTAAGAAAAAGAAAAAAGAGAAAGAAAAATGCACGAAGAAAATAAAGAATAGAATAAATAATAAGAGAAACGGAAATAAAAAATTTCTACCTTAACGTCCACGTCCAGCACCGCGACCCAGGTTCCACTCCCGCATAGCCTGAAGAAGGGCACGACCACGACCCACAGGACGAGGCTCAGGGTTGAGAAAGCGACCACGACCCACAAAACGAGGCGCCGGATCCCACCGAAATTCAAGTCCGCGACCCCGATTGATATGGGGCGGCGACGCGTTCACAGGCACTTCCGGCACAAAATCAACGTCACGATCGACCACTAAATCCGGAAGACCCAGCAATTCGATCTCGCGAACAAGCGCGGGCGCCGAGATTTGGTCCCGAAAGGAACGGGCAAAATGGTCCGACACGTCTGACACCTCCACTAAGGGATATTGACCCCTGACAGTGTTTTGAGCAACACTGAAAAATAGCTCGTGACAGTTGGGAGCCATAACACCCGAAAAAACTCAAAGAACCGTTCGCACAACGCGACGAGACAACACGCAAGAAAAATTTCCGTACAGGATTAAAAGTACGAGACGACGTCGGAAGACAGACTGAATGGAAGAGCGAATAAAAAGCCTGGAAAGGGCTAGATAAAAGCAAAAATAGCTGTATATGCATCCAGAGAAAAAGAGAATGCACCGCAAATGATTCTAAGAAAATATTATAATATAATACAAAGCTTTCTATTACAGGAGTCTTATTGCACGGAGCACCTGTAAGGAAACCGAATTTGATACCCAAATCGAAATAAAAGAATTTAAACATGAACCGGGTATCTACTTCGAAAAAATGGGCAAGATAAACCAAATCGAATCCACATGGAAAATGGTGATAAAACTAGACATCGCCGCAATGGACCATCGACATGAACAATTGAGAAACTATATGGCACAGACGAGAGCTCTATGCTACGATAAACCATTGCAAATAAAAATGAAAGAAACCTGCCACAACCTGCTACAAATAGCAGAAAAGGACAGAGAACAAGCAGAAAAATTGCTAAAACGCCTAAAATTTGCGTACCAAGCACCCAAGAAGACAAGACGAGGGCTAATCGACGGTCTAGGAACGATAGCCAAAACACTCTTCGGCACAATGGACGCAGACGACGAAAAAATTATAAAGGAGCAATTAAATCTCATGCAAAGAAATCAGCAAACGCTGCAGCACGCGATGAAAAATCAGATTAAAATATTAAACGCAACAATTGCGCATGTGGATAATGTTGCAAAAGTTTTGCAAGAAAATGAAGAACAATTCTTAAATAAATATAACAGAGAAGATGCGACAAGCCTGGATACAAACAGAAGTCGGATATGGACAACAAGAAGATCTCGACGAACACTTAATAATATTAAATGCCATAATAAAAGATCTAACGAACGATCTTATGGATATTATCGCGCATCTGATTAACGCGAAAAGACGGGTAATCGACATAAAATTATTACCCATAGAAAGCATCCTACATAACCTCAAGGAAACAGCGTCACAAATACCGCAGGGAACGCACTTGCTATGCGAAGCATGTGTACAGTTAGAGACATATACAAACAACTGTAATATTCGACACATAAACACGAATACAACTATATGGATAGCGCTGAGTAATGCGAACTCATGGTTATACTCTACACTATAAATCCCTAAAGACCTCTTCCTTAGCGGCTAGAGGCACAACAATTAATATTATTTATATTACATGAACGTTAAAATGAACGTTTTTTTAATAAATAAAAAAACAACGAATTATTTAAAAATTTTTTAAATATTTTTGAAAATGAGTTTCAAACATTTATTAAATATTTTGTTGCTACTTGGGGAGTATTTTCAAAAACGGTCTATCGTATTCAAAAATGTTATTTCGTTGCAATAAAATTATTGATGCAAAACCAGATAAAAGACTATGTTTGAGAAGTACTGTAGATTTATTGAAATTAAAAAGTAATAATTTTGATAAGAAAATCATATGTTTAATAAAATAAGCATATGTATATAAACGCATAGAGAATGCATAGCGGAAAAATTATATAGTGTAGTAGACATTGAAAATAATGTAAAATAGCAAAGTATTGGTAAAGCTAAACAAGCGATTGTTTTTTATGATAATAATTATAATGAGAGTCTTAAAAAGTCCCTACTTAGATCTTGCCGCAAAAACCGAGCGAAACGACACATGGTCACAGTATATACAGTAGCGCAACTCTCCCGATTTTGTGTTGGCCAAAACGGAGTGCGCATGCGCGAAATAAGTAAGTTGGCCAGTAACGCCATCTAAATTTCTCTCTCACTACTCTTTTTTTTCTACTCTTTCGTTCTCTCTCACACTAATTAAAAACGGAATTAAGTGCAGCGAAACGTTCAAAATGTTAAAGAAGGCCTTTGGCGACGATACTATGTCATAACCACGAGTTTATGAATGGTATAAACGCTTTCAGAAAGGCCGAGAAGACATCGAAGATGATGCGAAATCTGGGCGTCCTAGCACGTCCACCAGTCATGAAAACGTGGAAAAAGTTAGAGATTGTGCTTGCTAATATATTAGCTAATATTAGCTAATATATTAGCAAGCACAATCTCTAACTTTTTCCACGTTTTCATGACCTCGCGTCATCTTCGATGCCTTCTCGGCCTTCCTGAAAGCGTTTGTACCATTCATAAACTCGTGGTTGTGACATAGTATCGTCGCCAAACGCCTTCTTTAACATTTTCAACATTTCGCTGCACTTAATTCCGTTTTTAATACAAAATTTCAAACAAACTCTGCTCCGACATTTCGCCACACAAAAAATCGCCGAACACACTGAAGTACGTGGATTATTACTTATTACTACATATGTATCAATGAGTTAGAAAGAGAACGAAAAACGAGAGTGAGCGAGAGAGAAGTTCAGATGGCGTTACTGACCAACTTACATATTTCGCGCATGCGCACTCCGTTTTGGCCAACAC